AGATGCAGTAACAAAAAGTCGAAACAATCAAGTGCCTTTCTCAAGTATTGTTCTGATTTAGCTATATTATCATCAGTATTATGACATGCTTGATGTCCTTGGTTCTCTTTGTGTAATAAATAGTATATTCGACCCAGAAGATAACAGGCATCACCTTCAAGTTCTTTATTGCCAACAGTCGAAGCGATGCCAAGGCATTTCTCTAATAAAGGTAATGCAGTTTGAAAATGATTTCTGATTATATTGTTTTCAGCCATAGAACGATAAATAATTGCCTCAAGACCTTTGTCATTTAATTCTTTAGCAATAGCAAGACTAATGTCGTATTGTTTCTTCGCCTCTTCGTATCGATGTAATTCCTCTAAGCATGCGCCAATGTTTACTAAGGTGACCGATTGTGATTGTTTATCATCGATTTCTTTTGAAATGTCTAAGCATTCCTGACAATACACAATGGCTTCTGAATATTTGTTACAATAATTAAACAAAACATTTCCCTGGCTACCATAACATTTTGCTTGAAGACCTTTATTACCGATCTCTATACTGATAGCAAGACTTTTCTGGAACATCTTGATGGCCTTATCATAATCATTCAACGTTGCGTACATTGTTCCCAAATTAAGTAAGTCACCCGCCTGGTTTTCTTTTCTTCCAATTTTAACACTTATCCTGAGACTCTCCTCTAATAGACGAATTGCATCATGGTACTTTCCTTGCACCTGATATGATAATGACATGTTTGCATAACAAACCCCTAATCCTTCTTCATTATTCAGTTGTTTGTACAAATCAACAGCTTTTTTATGGCACTTAATACTATTTTGATAGTCACACAGGGAATTGTAAGCACGACCAAGACCTTCATAAGAATCTGCAATGAGTCTAGAGTCACCGATTCTTAATGCAACATTGAAGCCTTGTTTTGAATACCTCATACACTTTTCATAATCTCCCAAACTAGTAYACGCAATACCAATACCATAGCACATCTCACACTCTAGTTTCTTGTCACCAGTCTCTTGTACTATTTCCAGTCCCTTCTCATAGTAATCAGCAGCCTCRTGATAATTTTCTATATCACGGTAAACGTCAGCCAGTTTTGCTAGCGTGACAGTTTCTTCCTGTTTAGAGGCATTCTTCTGTGCAATCATCAGGGCCTTTTTAAAGTATCTTATTGCATCTCTAGTCTCACCAGCTTCTAGTTTTGATTCACCGATAGAACATGCCTTCGACCATTTCATGTCGTCTCTCCAAAGCCTTCAGTATATCAAATTGGGCTTCCTGTGTTTTCAAAATGGCGACAAGTAAACATTGTATCCACTTGAACTCAAACAGTAAATACATTGATTTTAAAAGTAAAATAGCTCATGTTAATCTTCTAAATCACAAATATGATGAATAGAATAAGTCAAGTGAATAGATTTCCTACATATATTTAGGGACATTTCGTTATAAAATCGAGCATAAAGTGTTAAAAATTCGACGACATTCAACTATTAAATAAGTTATTTCCAATTCATATCGGTACTTAGACAGCAATAAACAACTASTAACGATTTGGTGACATGATTGAAGGATAAATACCGCTTTCTGATGACTTATAAAGTGTTTGTTGGATGTTATCAAGCTCAATGAATACATAATGTAGTCTTACCTTTGTACCGAGTCCAGTCGTGACGAAATCTTATTGACCTGAATACGTTCACATACGATGCAGAGTCGATACAAGATTCTTGCACGATAATGGATCAATCAAACATCATGATCATATGAAGTGGTTCTTTGCCAGTCGATTTTATAGCATTTTTCGTCCAAGAGACAAGGTTTGCTTCTCTCGAACTTCCCGGAAGAGTTTTGTCGTTTGTAATTCCGCTGTGCAGAAGTACCTGAAGTCTGGCTCAACCCGGAAATGAATGTTTTGATTTATGTAGCTATGACAACAGGGTTTCACTTTATACATAGATTTGAATAAATCTAAGAATTTAAGACACAAGATAAATATGATTCGATAAATATATGTGTCAGTTTGGTAGCTA